AAATATATTAATCAAATTAATATATAAATAAAAATAAATAATAATAATAAACAAATAATAAAATTGAATATATTTTTTATTAAACAATCGAATAAATAAAATAAATAAAAAATATAAATAATAACAGAATAAGAATAAAAGAAATATATATAAAAAGTAGTTAATTAAGTATTAATAGAAATATTTTCTATTGTTCCTTGCTCAGGGGAGACTACTAATCCCGTCCCTTCGCTTAAAAGTATTTGTTCTTCAACTATTAGCTTATTCTTTGCTTTTAGTTGTTGAACGGTGAGAATTTTCTTTTCTCATTTTTAGTGTGGAATAGAGTATTTTAAACATCCCTTACTTAGATATTCATTATTAAATTTCTTTTTAATTTTGATGGGTTTAAATTTCTTCTTCTTTATTTTCTTATTTTAAGGAGAGTATATAATTACTACTGTATTGCTTTGGGCTAATATTCTTTTAGCCTCATCCACTTGACCCTTTTCTTTTGATAATCTTTCTTATATTATCAATTATACTTGTATTCTAACAAGTAATAATAACATCTTTATAAATACCCATTCGTTTATTGTCAATGATATTCTGTCATTGTACATAATAAACACTGCTATTCTTGCAGTACTGGGTAAGATGTTTTTCTAACCAAACGCAACGTCATAACCAGTCCATAACTGGGGGAATCGAGGGATGGAAATATTTTAGGGTTCTGTGTGGTGTCTTTGACGTGCTACCTTCGAATCCGAATAAAAGAAATATATATAATAAATAAAAATAATAAAAACATACGTAGAAAAAGAAATAAAAAAATAAAATATAATAAACATAAAATAATAAAAGAATAATAAGAAAAGATAAAATAAATAATAAAAATAAATAATAAAATAATAAACATAATATTTATATTAATAAAATACTAATTAATATAATTAATAAAATCAAATATAACATAATATAAATAATAAATATGATAAATAAGAATAAAATAAACACAAAAAATAAGAAATAAAATAAATAACAAAAATACAAAAACAAATATATTCAACAAAAAATAAAATAATATAAAAAAGAAGAGAAAAGAAGAAAAATATAATATATAATCAAATATAAATGTTATATGATTATTATACAATATGTAATATATGATAAATAATAAATAATAATTTCATATGATATAGATAGAAGATATAAAAAATAAATAAATAATAATAAATGATAAAGAAATAATAAGAGAAATGATATAATAATAAATAAAATGAATAAATAAAATAATAAATAAAATCAATATAATATAAATAATAATAAATATAAAGAGAAAATAGATATAAAATATAAAAATATAATAAAAATGAAAATAAGATAAAGAAATATATTAATATATAATAAATTAAATATAAATAGAAGTGTATTAATATATAAAATAAAATATAAATAATAAGAATATCAAACTAATAAAATATGATAAATATAATAATAAAGAGATAATATGATGATATATATATAATACAATAATAGAAATAAATATAATAATAAAATATATAAATATATAAAAATAAAATACATAAATAACATTAATAACATAATAATAAAAATGTATAATTACATTGAATCAAATATCATTTCTGATTCATTTATATTTCATAACAATTTACCATAAAATGATATAAAATATAAACAAATATAAATGAATATAGAATGAGTATTTAATTTACATTTTTATTTTTTATTTTTTTTAGGAGCAAAATAATAAAAACTATTATTTTATTGATGCAAAATATTTTGCCCTTTTCTTTTTGGGGTTTTTTATTTAGATGCATTATTTCTTTGCTTATTTTGGTTCCCATAGATGTCAGTCGGATTATACAACAATTCATTAAATAATTTTAATAAGAAATTGGTTGGTTATTTTAAATATTTAATAGCATTGTATTTTATCAATTCAATGTACTTTCAAATTATCAATGAATTTAATTAGATTTTTTAATTCATTTAGAGTGATTATATATTCTATTATTAATTTTATTTTCAATTAATAATATAAATTATTATTTATGAAATCTATATTAGTGTTATTTTCATAGATTCATTTCAATAAATTAATAATAATAATATTAAGATATTCATCTTCTTTATACTTATTTAGAAGTTGTCTCTTTCATTAATTTATCATTTTATAATTCATTCTTATTCTTTTCAATTTATTCTTACTTCTATTTCTATTATTTTCATTCTTTTGATATATTTTTAATAATTTATTTGATCATTTATTTTTATTTTAATATGATATATATCATATTTTTTAATATGTAATATTCTTTTTAATTTCATATATTGATTATTAAAGATTAAATCTCTTAATCAATATATTTTGAATATAATATTATTTCTATATTTCTCTTTCAACTTCTTTCTTGATTCTTATTAATAATGATGTTAATATTTGATGTTACATTTTTAATATAAAGATAATAAACATCTAATGTAATGATTAATATTTCATTTGTATTAATGATATTAATTATTTGATGTATTTTGTTTTTATTGTAATAATAATTAATAAATTATACATCTTCTTGTTATTTCATTTCTTATTTAAATAATCTTATTACTTCTTGTATTTCTTCTTTCTTATTTATTTTATTAATTCTTTCATTTCAATATCATTTAATTGTGTGTTATTATTTCTTCTTCATTTCTTTTATTGACTTCAATTTTAATTTCATTCTTTATTTTAAATGTTTTCTTTATTATTTCTTTATATTCATCAATATCTTCTATTTTAATATCAATTTCATGTATTAATCTTTTTATTTCTTCTTCTTTAAGTTGTTTTCTTAATTTTATTTCTAATAATTTCAGTGTATAACATTTATAGAATGTTAGAATTTCTTCTTCTCTATTTGTTTGTTTCAATTATTTTTTGAATGTCATGATCAGATGTGATGATCTTCTTATGCTGATTTCACATCTCTTCGATTGAATTCTGATTTAACTTTCTTTTTTGGAAGATCATCTTTATTTGATGATATTTCATCAGTTACTACCACATTGGGGGTGATGTCATTCACAATTTGTGTTTCAGATGAATCAGATATAATGTGATTTATCTCTTCTTTCTTCTTTTCTTCTTGTATAATTTTATTTTGTAATTTAGATAATTTATCTTTCAAGAAGTATATTTGTTGTGATAAATTATTTACTTCAGACATTTTCATTTCTGATTTAGTATTGAATTCAAATAATTTTCTATCAATTTCTTGTTTTTGAGTGTTTATCTCATTCTCATGATTCTTCTTTAATGACATAATGTCAAATGATAATTTATTAATGGTCTGGTCCTTCTTTTGTATTTCTTCATTTCTTCTTTCTCTTTAATAACCTCTTCTTTTCTTTAATTCTTCTATTCTTTTATCTTTTTCATTCTTCTTTTCTTCTTCTTCTTTTAATTTCGTCTTTTCTTTTTCATTATGTCTCTTCTTATCTTCAGTAATTTCATTTTCATTATCATTTTCAATATTCATTGTATATTTCTTATTTAAGTATTTATCATTTATTTCATTTTGATTTAATTGTTTATCATTATCTTCTTCAAGTGTTATACTGATTGTTTCACTTTTCTAATCATTTTTGTTTTTTCTCTTACAAATAAATACTATCTTCTCATTATTGTTGATTATATTCTTTAATCTTAGTGTTCTTAATTTATTCTATTTCTTGTGTAAGTATTTTAATTTCTTCTTCAAATAGTCTTTTCAAATATTCTTGGTTTTGTATTTCTATCATTTCTTTTATTTCTTATTTGTTGTTGTTTTTTATTATGGTATTGTTTATGTCTATGTTGTGTTTTATTATGTGAATTATTTGTATTATAATACTGATTGTTTCTATTTGAATTATTGGTAAAATACTTATGATGAAAATGAATGAAGTGAATGAAACGATTCATACCATTATTATTATAACTATTATGATAATTGTTATGGCGATAGTTATTATTATGGTAATGATTAATGTGAAGATTAATGTATTTCTGTCCATACAGATAATACGTGTTTTCACTCATTGTTCTATCATTTACATTTCATGGATGATATTGATTTCACCTTCTTTTGTTAATGATTAATTTATAATTTTGATGACGTTTCACCACGCCACGAGAACCAGCACTCCGAAGATGTAGAACAGAGCGCCACGTTTCACCACGTGTCACGATGCATATCCCTGACGGGATATGCACGCACG